TTCCAGCCCTGCTGAGCCTCGAAGTAGACACTATCCTAGGCGTTGACGGATGTGCTACGATATGGTAGCGACACAAACGTATCCCGGACCGTCGGTGAAGCCTACGTGGTGGCACCGCGCCGTTAGATCGCCTTGGCCATGCTGACTGCCACCAGAATCTATCGAAGCTGGGCCGAAGGGGTGCTAATCAAGCGGTTCAAGATTTCTGTGCTCGCGCAATTTGCTATACTCATGAGAATGCACGACTCCGCTGTCGCAAAAATACAGCGAAGACTCAAGGCAAGCCACGTTTCCATTACCATAGGTCCCATTCGTGGCCGGTAGGCTCTGTCGAGAATGAGTCGAGCGTGCCAAGGTCCTGGAACGGAATAAATTGGACCTAAAAAAACCTACCAAAGGGCACGACACATATCGCCAAGCAGAATAGTCGAGCCTGATGTTGGTTGCGACAGGCATCCTCGCCCCTCACCGCATGGTGACTCTACCCAGATCCCTACGTACCCGATCGTGATGCCTTGGCAGTGCGGTATTGTGGAAAAGGCCGTTAGCTTGGCAGAAGGCTATTGAGACCTTCCCTGGGGAATACAAATTCAGCATGGGCCGACTCTTACGTGGCTCTGTTTCCTCTCTTGCTCTTCTTACCTACGCCACACTGCTGTTTTTTTTTTTACGAACACAGGCTTCTGGTAATCGACGATACTCACTTTAGCCACAATGGCTTCCAAGAAGAAGAACCGCGACCCCCTCGAGGGACACGTATCGGGACAGGCCAACAAACCCATGTCTCGTCCGGCCCATGCCCTCTCGTATGACCAAGTGATCCAAGAGTTGGGAAGCGATGCCATCAATGGACTATCCGAGGATGTTGCCAAGCAGAGGGTCGAGGAGTACGGGAAGAACGAACTGGGAGAGGCTGAAGGAGTTTCCCCCTTGAAGATCATTATCGCCCAGGTGGCCAACGCCATGACCTTGGTATGGAAACCGATCCTCCGAAGCTACGTCTGGAGCGTGACGAAGAGCCCCTACTGATCCCATGCAGGTCCTGATTCTGGCCATGGCCGTGAGTTTCGGCATCGGTTCGTATATCGAAGGCGCCGTGATCACGGCGGTCATCCTCCTCAACGTCATCGTCGGTTTCTTCCAGGAGTACTCGGCGGAGAAGACCATGGACTCGCTGCGGTCGCTGAGCTCGCCGACGGCCAACGTGGTGCGCGGCGGGAACTCGGTGGTGGTGCCGACGGCCGAGGTGGTGGTGGGCGACCTGGTCGAGCTGAAGACGGGCGACACCGTGCCCGCAGATATTCGGTAACCTGTTACCATTGCCGCGTCCCCTGTTCCCGCGAAACCAAGATGCTGACTCGGAACCACCGCAGGATCACCGAGGCGGTCAACTTCGAGACCGACGAGGCGCTGCTGACCGGCGAGTCGCTACCCGTGCGCAAGGAGGAGAACTCGGCGTTCGAGGACGCGACGGGTCCGGGCGACCGGCTCAACGTGGCCTTCAGCTCGTCGACGGTGACCAAGGGCCGCGCCAAGGGCATCGTGTTCGCGACGGGGACGTTCACCGAGATCGGGGCGATCGCGGCGGCGCTGCGCGAGAAGAACTCGAAAGTGCGGCCGGTCAAGCGCAAGCCCGACGGCAAGGCCAAGCCGCACCGCTACCTCGAGGCGTACACGCTGACGCTGACGGACGCGGTGGGGCGCTTCCTGGGCGTCAACGTGGGCACGCCGCTGCAGAAGAAGCTGTCCAAGCTGGCCATCCTGCTGTTCGGCATCGCCGTCGTCTGCGCCATCATCGTCCTGGCCGCCAACGAGTTCTCCAACGAGCAGGAGGTCATCATCTACGCCGTCGCCACCGGCCTGTCCATGATCCCGGCCTCGCTGGTCGTCGTGCTGACCATCACCATGGCCGCCGGCACCAAGCGCATGGTGCAGCGCAACGTCATCGTGCGCAACCTCAAGTCCCTCGAGGCCCTCGGCGCCGTCACCGACATCTGCTCCGACAAGACCGGCACGCTGACCCAGGGCAAGATGGTGGCCAAGCGGGCCTGGATCCCGGCGTTGGGGACGTACACCGTAGACACGTCGTCGGAGCCCTTCAACCCGACCGTGGGCGCGCTGTCGTTCGACGCGCGCGCGCCCTCGGCCTTCGCCAAGGAGGAGGAAAACGACGGCGGCGTCGAGAAGAACCACGTGGCCTCCGCGGCCGAGCTGCTGGGCGCCAGCCGCGCGGCGCTGACCGACTACCTGCGGGTGGCGTCGCTGGCGAACCTGGCGACGGTGTCGAGCCAGGACGGCGAGTGGCACGCGCGCGGCGACCCGACCGAGATCGCGATCCAGGTCTTCGCCGCGCGCTTCGACTGGAACCGGCTGTCGCTGGCGGGCCGGTACGCGCAGGTGGCCGAGCTGCCCTTCGACTCCGACGTCAAGCGCATGTCGGTCATCTTCAAGGACCAGGCCAGCGGCGAGCTGTCCGTCTTCACCAAGGGCGCGGTCGAGCGCGTCGTCGGGTCGTGCGTCGACTACTGCGCCCGCGACGGCGAGGCGCCGGTGCCGCTCACCGAGGCGGTCCAGGGGGACATCGTGCGCAACATGGAGGCGCTCGCCGGCATGGGCCTGCGCGTGCTCGCGCTCGCCAGCAAGCGCTGGACCGGCCCCGACAGCCTGGAGCGCGGCGCCGAGCTGGACCGCGCCGCCGTCGAGGCCGACCTCACCTTCCGCGGCCTCGTGGGCCTCTACGACCCCCCGCGCAAGGAGTCGGCCGACGCCGTGCGCAGCTGCCACGCCGCCGGCATCGCCGTGCACATGCTGACGGGCGACCACCCGGAGACGGCCAAGGCGATCGCCGCCGAGGTCGGCATCCTGCCGAGCCAGATGCAGCGCGTCCGTCGCGACGTCGCCGACGCCATGGTCATGACCGCCGCCCAGTTTGATGCCCTTTCCGACGAGCAGGTTGATGCGTTGCCGGTATTGCCGCTCGTTATCGCGAGGTGCGCACCGAATACCAAAGTCCGCATGATCGAAGCGTTGCATCGGCGCAAGAAGTTCTGTGCTATGGTACGTGTTTCCCCCCTTTTCCATATATAAGATTCCCCTCTTTATTATCCAATCGATGAGGTCGAAATTGTCTGTACTTGAACTAATAGCTTCCCTCCCAGACCGGTGACGGCGTGAACGACTCACCCTCTCTAAAGCGCGCAGATGTCGGTATCGCAATGGGGCAAGCTGGGAGTGACGTCGCGAAGGAAGCTTCCGACGTGGTCCTCTCGGACGACAACTTCGCGTCCATCGTCGCCGCGATCGAGGAAGGGCGTCGGATCTTCGACAACATCCAGAAATTCGTGCTCCACGTGCTGGCCGAGAACATCGCACAGGCAGCAACGCTGCTAGTGGGTTTGGCATTCAAAGACAGCCGGGGATTGTCGGTCTTCCCGCTGGCGCCGGTCGAGATCGTGTGGATCATCATGATCACGTCGGGGCTGCCGGACATGGGGCTGGGGTTCGAGCGGGCGGTGCCGGACATCATGGCGCGGCCGCCGCAGAGCCTGCGGACGGGCATCTTCGACGGCGAGTTCCTGGTGGACATGGTGGTGTACGGGCTGTGGGTGGCGGCGCTGTGCCTGGCCTCCTTCACCCTCGTCGTCTTCCGCTTCGGCGGCGGCGAGCTGGGCGAGCGCTGCAACGACAGCTACAACGACAGCTGCGAGGTCGTCTTCCGCGCCCGCGCCACCACCTTCGCCTGCCTGACCTGGTTCGCCCTCTTCCTGGCCTGGGAGATGGTCGACCGCCGCCGTTCCTTCTTCCGCATGCAGCCCGGCTCCAAGCGCTACTTCACCCAGTGGATGTTCGACGTCTGGCGCAACCAGTTCCTGTTCTGGGCCATCATGCTCGGCTTCGTCACCATGTTCCCCATCATCTACATCCCGGGCCTCAATACCATCGTCTTCAAGCACGTGGGCATCAGCTGGGAGTGGGCTGTCGTCTTCATCTGCGCAGCTCTGTTCTTCGCCGGCGTCGAGGCTTGGAAGTGGGCCAAGCGCGTCTTCTTCCGTCGTCGCTTTGCGAAAACCCAGGGAGGCGTCGCCTGGAAGGACCTCGACGTCGAGCAGCGCACCTTTGCCGAGTTCCTCAACTTCTCGTCCGATGACAATATCCCCGCCGGCGACAACAAGGTCCAGGGGCGCGAATGACTACGCAGGGGCGGGAAGCCCCGGACGATGAAGTCGAGTCGCGGTGTATGGCGATGTGATATCGCCAGAGAGTGTGAGAGTGAGTACCGTTGGGTGGTTGAGGTGCCCCGGAGAGGGAACGGGGGGCAGAGAAGCAGAATCAGCGGTGTTGAAGAAGAAGATGACGGTACCGTGGTACAGGGTGTACCAACGAGAGTGGGGTGGTCGCAGGTAAGTTGCAACAAAGAGCTCCGCCTGGGGATGCGAGTCTTTCAGTATCAATGCCTGGTAGCACGACGAAGCAGCTACGTGACCTGGGGGTTGTGTTACGATTTGGGAGATGGTTATAAGCAACCGGTGTATAGAAATTCTGATTCCATAGTCGCTCATTTAGATTATCAGCTTAATAAGATGGTTTGGTGTAGTAAAGTCCGGCTTGCCATCAGCGAACATGGCCCGAGGTCGTCGACGGGATGGAATGCGAGGCGTGAACGAGGTGGCGACGATGCCCCAACGTGATCTCCGCAACTGGTGACCGACCTAGAGACAGTCGAGCCCAAGGGTTTTGCAATGTGCCTTGAATGGTGAGTCTACAATGCTTGTGGTCGTAAGTCAATAGTCAGTTCCGATAGTCCCAACATGTGAATGGATCCCGGATATCGGAAAGGAGTATGCATCTACTTACCTTACTCAGTTTCCAAAGAGAAACACGCGGCACCCGTGGACATGCTTGAAGGAGCGAGAGCGACAACTCAGGGAGCCATAAATGCATGCACATGAGGGAGGGGAAGAGGAAGGCTTTTGCGAAGGCGAAGGGCAAAAAGAGAAAATCACCCCACCTCGGACTCGAACCGAGAATCTCCGGCTTTCTTATAATTAGGAGGCCGGCGAGTTAACCATTTCTCTAGTAGGGCTTGTTGGTGGTTGTTGTGGCAGTGTGATGCTGTTTGTGTTTATAAAGGGAGGTGCGGCTTGGTCTCAAACCGGGCGCCTATTGGTGGGCAGCCACCCAGGAAACAGAGGCAAGTTACATCGGTGTCAAGCAAACGCTCCTTCCCTAGAGGCATTGGGCGAAGCAAACAGCACCAAGATGCATGTATCGGATCTGATATGTGGTAATATGGCAACCTGCATCCTGCCCGCATGAGGCATACTCAACAGGCTGACTCCTGCCCCAAATGTCTTGCAGCTTCAAATGGACTGTTCACACAGCCTGTAAATGATGTCATACTAAGCCCAGTCGCAGCAGCAGTAGGCATCATGTGTTCATTTACGATTCACTTCATGGCTTTCGTATCACTGATAATAGCTGGTGAGCCCTTGTCTGCATGTCTTGGGGTGTTTGCTCAGTCACCCCGACCGACACTGTGGTTGAGCGATACCTCAAGAGAAATTCCAACGCAATGCTGTATGTATACTTTCAACAGGCAACAAGCCTCTCCATCTCATTTCGCTTCATTGCCAGTTATATGCACTCCTTTTGTTGACTCCAGTCTTGAAAGGAGAACGCCTTGCAGCCAAGGGTAACAGGTTTGCGACCACACACGCCAAGACACCTGCCATCTGGAATCGACTTACAAACTTACCTAGATGCACATCAGCAACAGGAAAAACAGAATGTTAGGACCTTGAAATAGGTGATTCCCAATCTTTGGATAGTAGAGGTGGATGGAATCCTACACTTCCATGCGTTACTGCAGTAGAGGCTCTTGATCTTGGCAAGGGGCAACTTAGGTCGGAGACACTCCCCCCAATGACACCGGGCAATCTGAACATCGGTCGCATACGATATATTTATTCAAAGCCCAACCCAGAACATTCCCTTCCGCCCATCAAAGCTTCCCATGCATCCGAGTTTTACAATGTCTCAAGAAACGCCAGTATCTCCCTGACCACCGCCTCCGGCTGTTCCTGCTGGACCCAATGGCCAGCATCAGCAATTAACCTAACGCCACGGAAACATCCATCCTTGACCGTGCCGGGATCTTCATACCCCTCCAATGCGCCCGGCTGCTGGTAGTTGCCCCAGTCCTTCTCGCCGCTCACGAAGACGCAGGGCACCTCGATGCGGCGGCCGGCGAACAGCAGCAGGTCCCGGGCGGCCAACGCCTCCGTCTGCGCGCGGTACCAGTTCAGCGCGCCCTGGAAGCCGACGCGGCGCCACTCGTCGACGTAGACCTGCAGCTCCCCGGGCGGTAGCCAGCGCTCGGTGGCGGCCGCGTCCTCGCCGTCCATCAGCCGCGCCACCGTCCGCGGCATCGACTCGCCGCGGCGCATGACGTAGTAGGCGGGCAGGCGGCGCAGCTCCTCGGCGCTCCACGCCCGCAGCGGCCGCGGCGCGGCGTTGCCCGCCCACGCCGCCGACTTGACGTGGAAGTAGCCGCGCAGGAACGCCGCGAGGCCCTGCGGCGGGCGCGCCCAGTCGCCCGCCGCCTCGGGCGTCGCGTTGTACCACTTGTAGTGCTTCCTCGGCGGGTCCAGGCCCGCCAGCTGCGCCTGGATGCCGCCTTTGTCGAGCTGCTGGCCCGGCCGCGGCGGCGCGTGGTGCGGGTGGCTCATGTGCACGCTGGCGCGGAAGACGTCGGGGCGCGTCAGCGCGGCCGCGGCGGCGCTGACGGCGCCGAAGTCGTGGCCCACGATACACGCGGCGGAGGCGTGCCCCAGGCCGTGCACCAGGCACACCAGGTCGCGCACCAGGTTGCTGGGGACGTAGTCGCGCAGGTCCGCGTCGTGGTGGGAGGCGCAGGCCGGCCACCCCGTCGTCCGCCCGTATCCCCGCTGGTCCACCGCCACGCACCGGTACCCCGCGGCGGCGACGCGCGGCAGGACGTGCCGCCACGAGTACGCCAGCTCGGGGAAGCCGTGGCAGAAGAGCACCAAAGGACGCTCGGACGATCCCGATTGAAGCACGTGGAAGCGCAGACCGCAGCTCGAGCTGCAGTCGATGTAGGCTTCGCTCACCCCCTCGGGAAGCGCTAAGGGCGGTAAGTCGACCTCCATGTTCACGGCCGGTGCACCCTGTGACGGACGTGGCACAGCTGTACACTTCGCTTCTGATTGATGTTGAGGATTCGTATAGATGAGTGTCTGAGGCATGCAGCTTTCGGGTTACCCCGCTGAGATGCTGGTCTTCAGTTGACGTCACGCATCGCAAGCATGTGAAACTCCGAGGATAGTTGCGTTTACAGTCCGCAGAGTAAGGTACCGGTATCAGTCATTTCAGCTGCATTCTCCCGCGTTCTTTCGGGACCCTTTAGTTGAGTATCGTGACATAGCCCCTACGGGTTCATAGTATTGATCTCGTCTCGTTCCCTACTCCTTATTGAGCACACGACGGTGACTAATTACTAACCGGCAGCTTCGTGGGTTGGATTTGAGGCTTGGTAATGCCTCTCAAACGGAAATGAGCGTATCCACGTCTCCCGAGTTGCGCCTTATTGCCCTGAAAATGAGTCTGCTATGCTGGAAATGCAATCTGAACGCAGCAGCCGGGCCACCCCCATCGTACACAAGACTGCACTTGAACGTCCTCCCAAACGGCTGCATGAAAAGGATCGGGAATACAGATAAGGCCATCGAGGCTTCATGTAGGAGCCCTCATACTCATAGATCATCGATGTTCCACGCGCTCCACTCCTTCCAGCCCTTCTTCTCACCAGGCAGTCTCAAGTCTTCAGACTCCTTTTTCGTGACATTCCTCCAGTCCTCAACCGGGATCCAGCCGATATACGCCCTGTCGCCGAAGCCGCCGACCCAGTAGATGTGAGTGACGACCATACGGACGAACTCAGACTCATGAATCTGGTTTCCCGGGAGCCAGTACTTGGCATCCGGATGTTTCTTTACAAAACACTCCGCAAGATCCTTGCTCGACATCGACTCGATCTTCTCGGTATAGCCAAACAGACTGTACCGTGGGAGGTTGGCGGCGCTGTAAGGGACGGTGTCCTTGGGCTCATCATCATCCGCAGAATTGCCACAACCCAGTAACCGGTCCAGGAAGCTTAGCGACTTGATGCGCTTCTTCGGCGGGTACGGCGGCGTCCACTGCTGCGCCAGGCTCACGTTGGAGCCGGCGCGGATGTTCTTGAAGGTCGTCGCAATCTGGATGGCCAGGAACGTCGGGTTGCCGGTGTCCTCGCAGTCGGCCACGTACTCCATCAGACCTACGGGGACGCCGCCCAGGCCGTCGGGACGGTTCTCTTCCGCGGCCAACCTGTCCGAGGCACCGGGGAACACGGTGGCGACGGTGCCCAGGGGTGTTAACCCCAGGATCCGCCGGCCCATCACCGCCGACTCGTATGCGGTCGGGATGCGGTAGTCCGAATCGGACGCTGGTGGGTTGCTCAAGATGTACTGCGGCTCGGCGGCCGGCTCAGCCACGCCTGGGCGCGCGGCGAATAAGAGGAGTGGGAGGTTCTGTAGGAGCTTCATCGTGATAGAACGGGGCCGGTGTCTCGGCTTTGACAATCAGGAAACTTGCAGACAACAAGATTGATCTCACTCAAGGCATGAAAGTTAGAACGACTAGTAGGATGCAAACAGTCGTTGAGCTTTCATTGATGACAAAATACCTGGGCCTGGGATGTCTTATCGATGAGTAGTTGACCGTTGCGCAGGCTTGAAACGCAGTGGTGACAGCGGGATGTCTTGTTCGGGAGTCCAGGCTCGGGAATGCGCCGTGAGAGTTGAATCTTGCCTTATCGGGCTTAGTGGAGCCGAGACATCAACTCCCGATCTGATGACCTTGATGCGCGCAACCTGGAAACCACCCCCGGGGGAAATACTGAAGCCTTCCCTACGATAGCACTTACCTGACTTTACCTCAAATCACGTTGACGCTGAACCGGCTTTGATGTGAGCCAGCTCACGCAGAACCGTCTTATTAGACCAGGTGACCCAGAGAAATCCGTGATTTCCGCTTTGGGTACTTAGACAAGTGGAGATAACCAGAGAATTAGCCGGTGATTGACCGCGGGTGGCGTTGGCGACAAGCAGGGTTGCTGCCACTAAATACATATTATGCGCCAAACGAATCTTAATGCAAACGCCGGATGAGTCAAGGGCTCATCATCACATGACCTAGCCGCTTTCAACCCACACCAAATCAATTCATCATTAATTCTCCCGCATAGCCGCCCACAGCGAACTTCGACTCCCCTCCGCCGACTTTTGCACCCAACACCACTAAACAGCCCACCACACACCCTCGCAAACATGGGAAAAGTTCACGGATCGCTGGCTCGTGCCGGTATGTTCACCCCTTTGATGGATACTTGCGACTTGCGATGATTGCTAACGTGCCCTACAGGTAAGGTCAAGTCTCAGACCCCCAAGGTTAGTGCGCTCGATTACCATTGAAAATTTCAACACCCATCCCCGAAGCCCGGCTACGAAGCGAATCATCAGCGTTGGGTTGTCGAAAACCATCGTTGAATCGCAGTCGAAACCCCGAGAGAGATGGTGAACGAACCCGCGAGATGGCTTACTTTCCGCTGGCGAACTCGACCCCTCCGACACCCGACCACGAAATGACCGACCGGCTATGCAGTAAATAACGATGCTGATACAACGAAATACAGGTTGAGCCTCAGGAGAAGCCCAAGGTCCCCAAGGGCCGTGCTAAGAAGAGACTCGTGTACACTCGCCGCTTTGTCAACGTCACTCTGACTGGTGGCAAGAGAAAGGTGAGCATCTACAATCTGAGGCCTATTTCTCTTGGCTGGGACTGACATCTGGTAGATGAACCCCAACCCCGGCTCTTAAACGCGACATCCAGTTCGCACTTTCAAGGGCAGCCACGCCTACGACCGGGAGATTAGGAAAGGCGATGGACGAGCAGTCACCCTTTGTCCTGCTCTGAGCGACCTCCTCCCTTGTCAACTGGCGACAATCACGACCTGCTCTGGTTACG